CTCCAGTGTTTGCCTGCAGATGAGGGACGGGTGGGGGTTCAGGGAAGGCAGGTAGTCCCGTGTGCCCACCCAGAGCTGGCATCCACAGGCCTGGTCCCTCCACCTGTCCCCGCATACTCTGGATCTCGATGACTTTCTCTAGCGTGGCCACTGCATTCACATTGGGCTTCTGCTGCAAGACGGCCTCATCCAAGGGCTGCAGCTGGCAGGGAGAAAGAGGAGGCTCAGGTGGGGGGCAGGGTGGTGATGGCTGCCCTCCAACTGTCCCCACGCAGCCCAGACCTCCCTTGTAACAAGCAAGCATGGCCTTTCTGGAGGAAATCCTGCTCAGAAAGCCCTTCCTGGCCACCCACTAGCCTGAGGACCAGGAAAAGCCTCTCCAAGGGGCCCTTGGTGCTCCCTGACCCAGGGACGAGGACATCCCTGGTTGCTCATCCCCCTGGCCTGCAGTCCTACCTCCCAGCTACCTTCACTCCTCACCTCTACGCTGAGCAGAGCTGAGACACAGGCCTCAGAGGCATCACAGATGGCGGTCAAGTCGTGGCCTCCCTCCAGGGCCAGCACCACCCGGCCCCCTGCCAGTGTCATCAGCTGCCTGGTCAAGTGGCCAAAACCTTTGGGAAAGGGTGAAGAAAGGAGGACAAAATAGTAAAAATAAATCCACTCAAGAGGTAGTAAGAATAAAGAGAAAAACACAAGAGGTGGGACAGACAGCACAAAATAAGATGACAGATATGGGGGTAGCCCACAAAAAACCAGAATTATCTTTTGGAGGGCGGCTCCTTATAATATAGGCTTCTCCCACTAGGTAAGTGTTCTAGGAACCTATCGGCATCGGTGGCCCAGTCAGCGTTGTGCATCAATTTGCAGAAGCACCACCCCAAGTTATGGTGAAGAGGTGACCGGTTCCTCCACCGTTACAACACACCTGCCCCACACCAAGCTGAGAATTCAGCAGTTTCTGTTTTGGAGTTGGAGTCTCACTCCATCGCCCAGGCCGGAGTGCAGTGGCACGCTCAGATACCCCAGCGTCAACCTGCTGGGTTGCGGCGATCCTTCCACCTCAGCCTTCCAAGTAGCCGGAACCACAGGCACGCACCACCCTGCCCAGCGAATTCTTTTATTTATTGTAGAGATGAGGTCTCGCCAAGTTGCCCAGGCTGGTCACAAACCCATGGGCTCAGGCAGTCCTCTCGACTCGGCCTCCCAAAGTGCTGGGATGACAGGCTTGAGCCACCGTGCCTGGCCTGTTCAGTTAACCAAAAACAGAAAGACTCCCATGCCCCAGCCTCCCTATTCGCCCAGTCTCTCCCCGAGAGACTTCCCAGATGAAAAAAAAATTCCCAAAGGGAAACATTTTGCCAATGTGGAAGAGGCAAAACAAAAAAATGGCAGAAGCACTAAAAGACATCAAAATGGACGCATCCGGGCCGGGCTCAGTGGCTCAGCCTGTCATCCCAGCACTTTGGGAGGCCGAGGTGAGCGGATTGCTGAGCCCGCAGGTTCAAGACCAGCCCGGGCAACTTGGCAAGACCTTGTCTCTACAATAAAATCAAAAATTAGCCGGGCGCGGTAGCACGCACCTGTAGTTCCAGCTACTTGGAAGGCTGAGATGGAAGGATCGCCGGAGCCCAGCAGGTCGACACTGGGGTGGCCATGAGCGTGCCACTGCACTCCAGCCTGGGCGACGGAGTGAGACTCTGACTCAAAAAAAAAAAAATGGACGAGTTCAAACAATGTTTCGAGCAGTGGGAAAGTGTCTCGATAGGTGTATTACATCAGTCAGAGAGTACTTTGAAGGTGACTGAAGTTTAAACATGTAAGAATACGTAACTTTTTATAAATTAATTCCAGATTTTTGGGGTCTTCTCCTTATATAAGCCCAAATACATCCATAAGTAATGGTAACGAACGAAACACTCTATCCAAGATGCCCCGGTGGCATGTGGTCACATACCAGGTGTCAACAAGCTCCATCCTACAGCTCCAGTCTCTGCTACGCCTCCTCCCCTGAGGGCACCCCAAGGCCAGGGCAGGCAGAAGAGTGGGGGTGCTACCAAGATGAGTCCAAGTCTTCCCTCCGCCCCATCACAGTATCACTGTTCCCTGCCTCCCACCCCAGGACAGGAATCCCAGGTAAAAAAAAACCCTCCTGTTGCCTCCCTTGCTCTGCATATCAGGCCTTAATAATGTTCCCTATCTTAGCTGGGCATGGTGGCGCATGCCTGTAATTCCAGCTACTTGGAAGGCTGAGGCAGGAGGATCACCTGAGCCCAGCAGTTTGAAGCTGCAGTGACCGTGAGTGTGCCACTGCCCTCCAGCCTGGGCAACAGAGTGAGACTCTGACTCAAAAAACAAAGTAATAAAAATGAGACAGGGTCTCTGTGACCCAGGCTAGAGTGCAGTGGTGTAATCACAGCTCACTGTAGCCTCAGCCTCTCAGGTTCTAGTGATCTCTCCTCAGCCTCCTGAGTACCTGGGACTACAGGCATGCATCACCATGCCTGGTCAATTTTTTTTTTTTTTAAATCAGGGTCTCACTCTGGTGTGCAGTGGCACAATCACAGCTGACCGCAGCGTTGACCTGGATTCTGTTGAACCTTTCACCTCAGCCTCCCGAGTAGCTGGGACCACAGGTACACATGACCGCTTCTGGTAACTTTTTGATTTTTTTATATAGAGACGAGGTCTCACTATGTTGCTCAGGCTGGTCTCAAACTCCTGGGCTCAAGCAATCCTCTCCCTTTGGCCTCCCAAAGTTTTGGGATTACAGGCATTAGCCACTGTGTCCAGCCTCTGACTAATATTTTAATTTTTTGTAGAGACAAGCCTATGTTGCCCATGCTGGTCTCAAACTTCTGGGCTCAAGCAATCTTCCCACCTCAGCCTCCCAAAGTGTTGGAATTACAGGTGTGAGCCGCTGTGCTTGGCTGACAGCTCATTTTTTTTTTTTTTTTTGAGTTGGTGTCTCACTCTGT